AGCAAGGTGTTGTCCAGAGGGGGGTTGCCAGCAGGCCTTCTGGGTGGATAGGTGGCATGGCATAGTGCTGGTCCAGATGGAGAGGGCATCCCAAAGAGATCACACTCTACCACCCCTTTTATAGGGGTGGGCTACCTGTGTCTACCATGGGAAGGACATGTCCAGTCAAGGACAGTTCTGCTCATATGCATACATGCAGATCCAGGTGTCCTCATTGTCTGGTGGGACACAATGGTGGGGTTACTGGTTTCTGTAGGTTCTTTATCTTTCAAATGCTGGGTTTTGTCTTTGTTCCTGGGTGAGTCAATGCAAAGCAATGGTCCAGTCACTGAGCTGATTGTTCAGTAGAGGCCTGCTACCATTATACCTCAAGCACCCTCATTCATTCAGGAACTAATTTACATGAGACTGGTTAGACATGAGTCACAGTTACAACATGCTATACAATAGGTTATACCTGGGTAAAGGACACAAGATGGAGGTTTGACATACAAAATGGAAATTTGATATTACTTGACATTACTTTACAGACGCAGGCCTAAATCACATAAATTCAATATAAAACCGTAAAAATCAATACAACCATAACAGAACACTATTTACAATATAGCAGGGGCTTGTTATTATAAGGGAGTATAAGACCTTATCTTGGTTTACCTAGTACTACTTTTAATCACTGATAAGGGATAGAGAGGGCAGAGAGAAAGTCAGAAATGGTTAGGGGAAGGGGAGGGAATGTATTTAAAAAAAAAAAAAAAAGAAAAGAAAAACTGGGGGTTTTGCTACATCCCAGTGCCTTTATAACTCTGGCACAGTGCACAAAGATAGCTTGACTCATATTTGCACCCAGTCAGGCTGGAAAAAAAAAGTCTGTGGTCCTATGGGAATGGAATCCCTGCCATGAATCAACCCAGAGGTGTAACTGGCCAGGTGCAGTCCTCCCTCCCCCTTCATCCTGTACCATCTTTGCAGGACTATGGCTCTGGAGGCTCTGGCAGCAAAGAAGCAACAGTTGGAGTTCTCTGCTGCTGAAGGGAGATGTCACCTCTTTTGCAATGGATGCTCATGTTGAGAGGCCAAAAACTCCTGTTTTCCGTGGAAAAAAGGAAGGATGACATCAGCTCCCCCTCTACTACTGTACTGCTGTTTGACAGAACTACATTTCTCAGGATGCCCTTCCCTTACTCAGGCTCCTGCACTGCTGCTGGAGTTGAAGCCCGAAGATTGCAGAAGGGTGAGGTATCCACCTTCTTAGGCGGTGTCCAGGGATCATGTCCTGCTTGCCCACCTATCCCTATGCTACAGGAACAACACAGTACATCTGGAAGGACTACTGTTCCTGTACTTGTCTATCAAAATGGAAAGAAATATGGAGATTTAAATAATCAGACACTTGTTTAGTATTTCTGCTGTCTGCTCTTTCCATTTCATAGAGCTTGGACTGTGAAACCGAACTGCTGAGTTTATGGTCACTTTCCTTTGGTGGTGGTTTTTCTGATACTTAACCATAAGTCCAGTGTTGTTATGTGTGTGCTGGTTCTGCTGTAGAGATGAGAGGCTAATGAGAAAGAGACTCTTTTCTTTGTTCCAGGGTCTTGAGACCATTTCCGTTCATTTTGGGTGTCATTTTACAAAACCTAAATGTGCCTGAAGCTGGTTGGCTGTTCAAAAATTTTGAAAATTTTATCGTGTTTGATGGTGCAGTCATGTCTCTTCTTACAAAAATGCTAGTTTAGTGTTGTTTTTCCCCTCTTGGAGCTTCCAACTGAGTTTGAATTAAACCTTATTTACCACATAACAACCCTCCTGGTTCCTGATAGATTTATACTACTAGAAACCATTGGAAATGTCTCAGCCTTCAGCTGGTGTTTACAGCCTCACTGCTCAACATCACTTACATCAGAAATAATTGGCAACACAGCCTGTGTCCTCTAATCATCCCTACCTCGTCTCTGCTGCTTCTGCCATGCTATATCTGCCTTGGTGTTAAAGTGTTTGTGCACATGAAGGAAGGAACAAAGTCCTGCAGTAAGACACTTAAAGGCCATAAAATGTCACAATGCCAGATAAACTGAGGGTTAAAAAAAAAGATGATTAATAGTGCAGAAAATTTATTGGAAAATGATAGGCAGTTAATACCACTTTTGCATGCAACAACTTTGCACAACATTTCTATGTGATTTTAAATGTCATGTAAATGTATAAATTCCATTCAAATGTAACCTTTATTATGAGAGCATCAATAACAGGAAAATTTAATTAAAGGATAAAAGGCTCACTAGAAACACAACTTTTTTTTTTCTTATGGAGAATTGGTAATGAAGTAAATGAATTCTGTGAAGGATTTCATTTCAGATATCAACTGACAAGTACAAAGAAAGCCTTGCCTACCAAATGTATTTTAATGAATGTCCCTCCCCTTTGAACAACTTCTCCCATCCCTCTGTAGTCCTGAGTTAATTATTATTCCATGTGCCTTCATTAGAATATATAAAAGCAGCAGCTGGACCTTTGAAATCCTCTCCAGTTTGTTTAATCCAAATAATTTACACTGGGATTTGCCACACTGCCACAGTCTATTACACCCAAGACCACAGCCAATGAATAACAGCTCCGTCAATTGCCCTGCCTAGCAAATTACCAACATGCGCAGAGGAACCCAATATCATTATTGGCATTACAGAATACTACAGACAAAGTAATAGCAGCCTATGTTTCACTTGTTTTGTGCTTCCCCAGTGAAACTAGGCCATGGTGTCCTTCAAGTCATAATAAGAACCACTATTGAGAGGATTGTCAATCCAAATAACAGAAGAAATGAGGCTTGACAGTTCAGAAAATTGGGGATAAATACAGCAGCAGAACCAATTACTGTAAAAGGGCTTATTTTTCTCCATATTCAGTTTGAAATGACTAGAATGACCCAGGCCAAAGCTGTTGTTTAATTTCAACATGTATCATGATTTTCTTTTTCTTTGCCTGCATCTACATTCTTGCTGTGGCTCCAGTGTTTTGAAAACAAGAAAGATAGTTTCATTTAGCACCTTTGCCTTTTCCGAAATAAATAGCTGGATTGAAGCCATAAGTAAAGGCATGTTCTGACATGACATGTTGCACTGTAGACTGTAAGACTAGCCCTCACTTCTGTCAGTTGCCTTTGTTGTGCATGTGGAACAGTTCTAAGAATTCTTTAGGCTTTTCCATTTGCTTGTACACTTCATTCATTTGATGTCCAGAATACCAGTTAAGAGTGCATGCTATTAAATTTCCTTCCAAACTATTTAAGGATCCGTGTTGATTCCTTGCATGCCATTTGACTTACACTGCACTCTTCACTGCATAGTATGGGAGTTGAGAGAGAATTCACTCTTTCTAGATGTGAAAAGTTAAGTAACTGTTCAAGGGCTGTAGGATGCTAATGCTCTTATATGTGGGTGGGGAAAGAGTTTACTAGCTAGGGCTGTAATCAATTCTTGGAGTTCAAAAAACTTCTTAGTATTTAGGTGGAGTAAGTCCTTCAAGTAGCCAAGAGAAAAACACGTCCATTGCATTGTTATTTGCCCCACCAGAGATTAGAATAATACTTTATTTTATAATGTCATGTTTCACAGTAGACATAACCACTCTTAAGGCTCTTCTTGTTTTGGCCAATGCTAGTACCTTGCTAACTAGAGTATATTTGCAACTTTTTGCAGGTGTTGAGTCTATTCTTTATTGAACATGATTACATAGGGTTTGTCCCTGGAGTTTCCTTCAGTCCTCTCTCGCAACCAGTTTCTTCTTTGGCTTGCCCAGGTGTTCAAAAAAGGGAAGCTGCAGTCACACCTTCACTTCTACATATTCGGCACTTTTTCAGTTCCTGCTGCTCCAAAATACTTCATCTCCTCCTGCTGATCAACAGTACACTCTCCCACTTCAGCAATAACTATGAAGACTTCATCAAATTTGCTAATTAAGGGTCTGCCCCATTTTTTTCAGGTTGTGTGGGGTGCAGAGCTTCTAGGAATCTAGGAGTTTAAACATGTCTTTCAGGAAAGCCTGTTTTACCCAGAGTCCTTTGAAGCCTGTCCTCAGGGTAGTGAAGTCAGAACAATTTCTACGAAGCCAAGACCTTCACGTGTCTTCCCTTTATGATTATGCTCTTCCAGCTTAAAAGAGATTCCCAGACCTGTGTCCATAGAGCCCTCAGAAAAGGGGTTTCATAACCTTTTGAAAAGTAGTCATAACTATAGATGAGCTGTTTCAGGCTCCCCTTCATAGCTAGAGAACCTAGAACCCAGTTAGAATACAGGACCTCATTCATCAAGGATGTCTTTGTCATGTCAGTCTGCTACAATGATCTCTTCCACTCTCCCTGAAACTGATTTACCTGAAGGCTCGATTCGACATCCAGGCTAGTTTCTCCTGAGAGGGCAGGATTGCCTACTGGAGACTGGAAAAAACAATCTGAGCTCCTTGGCAGCTTCCGTGAGGCGAATCCAATAGGTAGACTCTAAACACAGGCTTTCCAGTATTTTTTGGTTAGACAGGGGTTCTACACACAAAAGGACCAGAAGTGGTAGCTTAATAGTTCTTACTCCTGTTTCCTGCACATTAACTATGGAGAATACAAGTCTACAAGGGCAAAAGAGATCACTGGGAAAACAGGGAGGCACAAGGCCCTTTCATACCTGAAAAAAGACTGTGCTAGAATATCTGTAACAAAGCTAGTCATGCTGCACTTGGAAGGGTACCATAAAGGACAAACCTATTGTCATGCAGATGTTAGGGTCAAGTAGTACTGTCATGACAAGTTGGCTTGATGTGGGGAGTTTCTAGGCTCCAGAACTCCTAAGGCAAGGGTTTCCACCCTGCAGCTCATGTGCCACAAATGGCACAGGCAGCCAATAGGCATCACGGTGGCAGAGTAGGCAGGGAGCAGAAAACAGAGCAGCAGATTGTGCTAGGGAAGGGGATTGGAGTGGAGCTCTGCAGGGAGGGAGTGGGAGTTAGTTTGTGGTACACCTGCCAAAAAAGGTTGGCTCCCACTGCCACAAGATTTGTCTGTATGCTCACATCAGTCTCTTGATCTTCTTCAAAGCCAATACACCCTACCGAGATTTTGAATACAAGTCTGTGGGCCTGTCTTTTCTAGAAGATCAAATGAGAGCTGTCTGCAGCTCCTTTTAAATTTGTCTATCAAACCTGAGGGCTTTGCACATATATATGTAATAGGCACCAGCTGTATTGCTAAAGCAAAAATGCTTTTCTGTTATTGGGTTCCTCAGACTTCTGGGCATAGATGTTGAGTTGTACCCCTGAAAACTCCCATTTTCTGTTGGAATCAGATTCTGCAGAAGTTGCATAAGAAAGAACCACTTTAATTCTGGTCACCTGGAATTGGTCTTGGTCCCATGAAGAAGGGGTGAGTTACTGAAATCTTGTGAAACCTGGGGAACCCGATTCAGCTCACAGAATTTCAGATGAGTGTCCTGAATAGTTTTAGTGGTACAGAACAGAGTAAAGCTACATGTACATACAGTTCTTGCAGGAGGTTAAAATTACTGGTAATGTCAGAGACTTACAGCAGGTTAAATTAATTTCAAATTTAAAAATGCAAGATAAGAAGAATTGCATACAGATGTGCATGTGTGGTTTAGCTCGCCTAATGACCTGTCTCTGACACTGGTTAGTACCAGTGCATCAGAAAATGATGCAAGAAACTTCCCATGACACTAAATTTCTCTTCCCATATTAGCATTAACTGTCACACCTCTATGATATTGTTATCCATAGAAGCATCTGGGACCTTTTATAAAACTTAGTTTTTTGGCTTAGGTGGCAATGATTCCTGTGGCAATGAGTTTAGTGTGTTTTAATAATGTGTAGAAATTTCTCCTCGTCGATTTTTGCGTTTTCCACCTTTTAATTTCATTTAATCACTTCCCCATTTATTTACATTTTAGAAGTCAAGGAGTGGTAGAACGTGCAGCCTAGAGAGACTACAGGGAATGTCAAGCTCTTTATAAAATGTAAGGCATTCAGGCCTGACTTCCTGAGGTGCTGAACAGATGGCGATCCCATTGACTTCAATCTGGATGAATGCTCCCTACTTCTGGTGAAACTATAAGGCCTTATTACGCCCTTCCGTCTGAAGTGCCTTTGCAACTGGATGAGTCTATAAGAGCACTGACATATCAAATGAAAACTCAGATGCTCCTGAATCTGAGGAGGGGTTGGCAGTGCCTGTAGGTATTCCTCTAACCCTAGTGGCCGACTTGCACCAAGTGGCATAGGCAGCTACAATGTGTGGCAGGTGAGTCTTGGGCTCTCAGTAAAAGGCAGGCGCCAGAATGGCAGCAGGGCAGGGGCAGAATGCTGCTGTGAGAGGTGTTAAGTGTCACCACCAAGAGCCTGCACAACCCTCTTCTGCTCCTGTGGCTGTTGCTGAATTCAGGGCTCTGAATCCTTGCCCACTATATAAAACAACAGCAGTTGCAGGGCCAGAAAAGAGTTAAACTGGCTCTTGGTGGTGACATCTTCTCTTGTAGTGGTGTTCTGCTCCGTGCAGCTGCAGCCCGAGGCTCAAATATTCCCTCTGCCCTCCATCTTGGGACCCCAGAGCACAAGCTCTAGAGTCTAGAGGGAAAGGATCAGTGACACTTGGGAAGAAGAGGGGGGTCAGGTTAACTTGTGGCACATCCACCCAAAAGGTTGGCGGTCACTGATTGTTCTATACCAGGGGTAGGCAACATGTGAAGATACTGGATCTGGCCTGCAGCAACTGCAGAAATCAGCAAGCTGCAGCCACAGCAGCAGAGGAAGCATCTCCAGGGGTGTATCACCTATCACATTCAGTTTATTCTCGCTGCTGCAGCAAAGAGGCATCCTCAGGTCCTAGCACCTGATTTTATTTATCTATTCCCCTTGCAGAATCTCCTGAACACTGGGGAGTGCAGGAATGCAGCCCACGTTGGGGACAGCATCACAAGCAGCAGCCCATGGTGGTACAAGGTTACAGGGAATATAAGAACAGTAAGAAGTGAACAGGGAAGGACTGTTCACCTGCTATGTGCAATCTTCACTCATCAGAGCATGGTATCTACTTCATGTCTTGCTTGAGGCTGAGTCAGTGACTTATTTTGGAGCATAGTTTTTTTTATCTTCTGGTCTGGTTCTTTGGAAAATATTACAAGAAAGAGATGTACCTTATGGCAGCATTTGAGGTAGAACACGAGGGCCTGATTAAGATTAACACAGATATAAATGCAGGTGAAATCAATGCAAACTTTCAAGAATTGTAGAGAAAATGTACATCTGCTTTAAATGCTAAAACTGTGTTCAACTATATCGTATAGAAAGAGATTACTTGTAACAGAGAACTCAATAACGCTCATGAAGTTTCTTTTTTGGATCATGTTTGGATCATGTTCCATTATATTGTGTTGACTATGTTATAAACATTAAAAGAGGGTATATCCTTTTTATATTCAGTTGTGGAACATAACATTTTTTGGAACTTGCCCATAGTAGGTCAAAATATGTAACTTGTCCTTCTAATGAGTCTGAGACACCAAAAAAAAATCAAATATAAAAGTATTAATATAGTCTTTTTTTTCCCCCAGGTGTTCAGCTGCAACAGAGAACAGATGCAAAACTTAAATCATGTGAAGAAAACACTTTTTTTTTGTGAGAGTTTGCCAAGAAAGATGTTACCAGAACACTGCAGTGCAGATGGTGCATTATCAGCTAACGGTGAGTTATCTTGGGTGTGGAATACACTTGCAATGTTGAGATCTCATACCTTAGAAGTCAGTCTTCTGAAGTTGCCATTTAGCAACTTATAATATCCAAGGCCCTGGTGTAGTTTCCTATCCGAGTACCTGCAGGAAGGGAACCCAGGGCACCAATGCCTGCTCCGATGTGTGCTAAAGCTCATCAAACGGGCTTTAGTTAAAGTGCCCTGGCTGCTGTATTGAAGTGCAAGACATTGAATACATAAGATGCTGCGCGCTCTTTAATTGAAGCAGCTCCTAACAGCTGCTCTTATTAAAGGGCCCCCTCCCCCCTCCCACCCTAGAGCATGTGTAAAGGCACCCCCAGTTAGTCATGAACCATATACTACATGAGCCAAATATTTCTCCTGTCTGAGGTCAAAGCTTTCTAGACCCAGTCCTGACTCAATGTGATAAAAGCACAGCAAAGTTATTCCTGTGAGTTACCGAGTACTCTTCAAATAGGCACTTTCATCAGCACAGAAGAGATTCAGCATGTGTCCAGGCTGGTTCTGTTATTGCCATGGGCCTGATGTGCATTTTTAAAGTCTGGTAACCTGGGGACTATCAGAGCTGCAAAGTAATATTTTGTAGCCTGCAAACAGAAGTCAGATTTATCCCAAGGGCAAAATGTTTTATTCTGGAACAGAGTGCAATCATACAAATGTCTATGCCCATTGTCCCAGGATAAATACTAAAAAAAATTCCTGGATAAGAGGTAGGTAACAGCTTATCCTGAGTTATTGCAAAGTATGTTTCTACAGTTATTGCATTGTTGAATAAATGGCAATAAATGGATTCAGCTGCTCACTACAACCTGATTAGGGTGATGTGTGTATGCATTGATTTCAGAGTATTTTTCTTGTGGGATAATCGCAGGCTTAATTTATCCAGGGAAAAATACAACATTCATTTGTCCTAGCCATACATATGTCACAGAGCCTAGTAGTCTAGTATTCTGCCAGTTATACTAACTCTTATGGTCTACTGGTTGCTAAAATCACATGGGAAAGCCTGCTTATAATGGTGCTTAGTTGGCTGATCCGTGCAATTGTTTTCAAGGATTTGTTTTGGATCACTGATCAGAGATACGTGATCCTTGCTTTCTTTTTGATTCTGTCCTGCTTTATATAAACTTTCCTGACGCTTGCCAGTTTTCATTTATTTCATAACTATATTCTGGTTCTTGTTGCTAGATCTGGCTAATTTGCAAAGGTAATAAAAGCAAATAGAAGGCTTTTAAAATTTCAGTGGGAAAATTCATATAAAAATAAAAAGTTTCATCTTAGTAGGGTCTTCAAAACATATTATGGACAACATATTCTACCTCCCTACAGTAGTAGATGGATCTTTAGAAAGAAGGATGCAGTGCTGACAAACTGCTCCTGTCAGGTGGAGACATGTGGATGGAAAAGGCTAGTTTCCTATGTAACAGCAAGATTCCTAGCCTTGCAAACAGTGTCATTTCTTCATCCAGGGAAATTTCAACTTACTTTTTAATAAATATGACAAAATGTTAAGTATTGGCATGTCACAGTCTTGATGAAATGATGTCTGTGGTATCAGCCCTTTCTTAATATTTTGGTGATTTAGAAATTAAATATGCTTAGAGATCAGTACAAACCCAAATCTCAATAACTCTGATATTTAGGATTTGAAATGTGGATCTGAATCATGGGCCTGAATCCCTTAGATTTTTTGGTTCTAAAGGAAAAACTTCCGAAGTGGAAGAAGTGTCGAGGTTGCTATAGCCCGCAACCACCGTGCTGAGAATGTAAAAATTCTTATTTGCTGCTACACAGCAGAGGCAACGAGTACACAAGATTACAATACTGACATCATCAGTACGTGGAAACCCAGAACTTATTTGCCACAGCTCAATCTATTTGGTTTGGCTCATATTTTAAAACCTGTACTAATGAGCCAATTAGTAACATCTGACTATGAGCAGCACACAACAATGGGGAAAAAAAGCTTCAGAATGTAGTGCACTTTGCAAAACAACATCCTGTGAAATCTTTTTTGAGTGAACATTCAAAGGACCAAAAAAATTGGCTGTATTCTAGAGACAGTTTAATTCCAATGCTGTGTAATGTATTTAATCCATATCACCCTTATGGGTGGGGTGCTTGGGATTGCTTCGTGCATTTACCCAGTTACACAGCATATTTTATCTGTAGATCCTAAAGTGCTTTACAAAGGAAATAAAATCATCTCCATTTTGCTGATGGAGGAGCCAAGGCATAAAGGGGTAGAGAGGTTAAGTGAATAACAAAATGGCAAAGTCAGAAACAAATTGCAGCTTCCAGCATAAGACGATATATCTCTGAGACCATCCTGTCTCCTCTTCTAGAATCCTGGTGACTAACAACTATGATTGCCCCAAAAATGTCCTACCACTGTATGCAACAAAGAAACTACTCTGCCTACCCAAAAGCCCCTTTGCACATCCATACTTAAGCTCTAAAAACCTGCTCAGCTCCCAGGATAAACTTAAGTTTCACCCAGAGAGAAGGTTTTTATGAACGGAGCCTTCCGAGAGCACAGCTCCTCCTGACCTATCAGTGATTTTCTCACTGCAGCTCAATGGCACCTCTGCCAATTGTAAACCTCATGAAACTCTGCTTCTCTTTCACCTCATTACATCATTTTGCCTCCTATCCTTTCTTTTGCCAAGCACTTGGACTGGAGAAATCTGGGAAGGGAAGTGCTGTCTGTGATGACATCAGCCCTTGATGGGATCCCTCAGGCCTGCTGTCTTGGCTCTTCTGTTCTCCTGACAGCGCTGTCCAGTGCATTACTCCACCATGGATCCTCATGACACTACAGCTTTATTGCCTCAGGAAGCCAAGGTATTAGGAGCGAGGGAGCCCCAAGCTCTTATACGTTGGTGTAGAGGAAATAGGCTATCTTTAGCTCCAGGCTCCCTGTAGCACCCCTACTTCTCCGCACAAAATCTTCTGCCCACCCACAATCTCCTCTAGTGTACCTCTGTTGTTGCTGCTGTTCCCATGTGTCTTTGAGGTTACCCAGTGGCTTTGAATGCTATCTCTCCTCCTGACCTTCTGTCCTCTTTTCATTTCCGGTTTCCTGCTGTACCCCTGGTGCCCCTCTTTTCTGTTTAGTTTCTCTCCTTAACTATCTGGGGAGCAGAGTCAATGAGCAGAAAGAGAAGTTTACTGCTGTCTGGAAACAGAAATCAGCAGCAGAACTTGACAGTTGTGTCACCTTCTCCTTGCTGAGAATAATTGACTATACTTACGTTATGGCTTAAGGTTTTTTTGCAGTTTGGAAATTTTCAAATTTGTTGCACTAGAATACATTTGAAAAATGTATGAGAAGAGCTGGGATTTGAAAGATCTGTTGGTCTTTTATCTCCAGGAAGTTGTTGGGGGGGGCTGTGGAGGGGGAAGGATTGAACAAATGTGTAATTTTTAAACAAAATTGCTAAATACTTTACCTAGCACATTCAGTAGCTTCAGAATAAGTAAGTGTGATAAATGTGGAGAAATATGATGAAATTCTACTGACTGAAGTCAATAGAAGAGCTCCATTGACTTCTTCAGTACTAGGTTTTCACTCAAACTATAAAATTCAGTGAATGATTTCAGTCTTACTTTAATGTTAAATCTCAAGAAGGCCATATCTGTGGAGCAGCAAGGATAACTTCACATGATTGACTACTGCATGCATGCATGCTCCCTCTCTTTCTCTCTCCACCAGTGGTTCTCAACCTGTGGCCTGTGGGCTACAGCCCATGTGACATCCTGCATTACTGTCAAATAACAGATACAAAACATTTTTTAACTGGAAGTAAGTTGTGTGGATAACACATAACACCAGTGAGAGCTGCAAATGTGGCACACTATGACAAATAGGTGAAGACCCACTGCTCTACACATACGCATATATAATCTTATGAGTGTAAATATTTACCCTTATACTTTTACCCTTTTGAAAGTGTATCACTGAATGTTTTATGCTGGACTTTAATTTACTTATGACATAAAACTGACTACAGTTTGGATGACAGATGGCCATGCTATACTTAGGTAATTTAGGGGTGGCCATCAAACACACAGCAATTCCTGCAGGCAGCAAGGAAAAATGTGTACTATTGATAGAACAACATTCGTGCACCAAAACAGGGAATTCATACAAAGGGAAAGAAAGTTTCTAAACTGGGAGAATGGAGAATTGGTTCTTCACGAACTGTTCCTTTTGATTAAGAGACCACAGATGTCATTTTCAGCCATCTAGAAATCAGTTCCATTTTTCATGCTGACAGTTTTGAATCATCTCTCCGGTACTTCAACTTTAAAACAGGAAAAATTAATACGGCAGCCAGCCATGAGATTTAAAAAAACCATACATATACAGCAAGAAGCACTTTGTACTTTCTTAGGCAGCAGGGTTTTGAGATTTTAAGGGGTACCCCATCATTGCATTGAAAATTGCAACACATGTATTTGAGAGTTGATGGACAAAAAAAGAGAGAAGTTAGAAGCATAAGGAAAGGAGGAGAAAACTGAAATCCCAGTTCTACTGAAGTCCCTGGGCTTATGCCACTGACTCAGTGAAGCTAGGATTTCAAATGTAGAGCTGAACTCTGAACTCCACTTCTGCAATCCAAATGTTGTAAAAGGACTAAAAAATGAGTTGATTTTTACAGTTAAGTCTTCCTTTTGGGCAGGAGAATCCCTGAATTGTACAATTCCTGAATTTGCTCTTCTATCATCCTTCTTTCAGCCCAACGTGCAGACAACATGTCAAAGGCACAGCACACCCCCATTGACTCCATCAATTGTTGAGGCACCTCTATACCATGAAACGGCCGCTGGTTGTCTCCAGGATTATGGCGCCATAAATGTACTCTTTGTACTGCTTACCCTTCTCAGCTGTCCTCGATGATTACTGAGAACAGCTGGAGACTGAGATCACAGTTTAGATGAACACCTAATTTGGGCAGGTCTAGTCATATCTTTCAGTTCTTTTACTGAGCAAAATACAGTCAACATTTAAATGACAAATCATGTCTTTGTGACCTTTTTCTCAGTGCAGTAGTGTTTTCTTTTTGGATGATACTATATTTGACCTATGCCTCTACAAATATCCTAATTTGCTTACTATTGTTTGCCAGGGCTGAGCAAAAGAAGAAAGTCAGTTCACTGAAGAACAATAATATTTTTGGGACCATTTATCACAATTCAAATGTATATAAGCAATTCATGCATTTAATGGTACATGAAAGAAAAACTGCTAAAAACAGTGTGTAAATTTAAAGCAAACTATAATTTGATTTTTTTTTTTCCTTGTATTGTATACTTGGAAAACAGCCACCAGTGTCTTGCTTTAGGACCTGAAAATAAACAGTGTTAAGGATAACAGCAATTAAATTAAGTTGCATCAGGGATGAAAGGACTCTTTGATGAGAAGATACAATTCAGGAAATATGGATTAACAAATTGGGTCTTTGCTTAACAATCATAGAGTCAGAGAGAAGTAGGGATAGAAAGGACCCCAGAAAGTCACCTAGTCAAACTCCCCTGCTAAAGCAGAATCATGCCTGACTAAACCATCTGTCAAGTGTTTGTCTAGCCTGTTAAAAATTTCCAAGGATAGAGATTTCATAACCACTCTGGATAACCTGTTCCAACACTTAGCCACTTAACAATAAGAAAGTTCTTCCTAATATCCAACCTAAATCTCCTCTGCTGCAGTGTGAGACTATTACTCCTAGTGTCGTTTCCCATGGCCACAGAGAATCATTCGTCCCTATCCTCTTTATAACTACCCTTCAGATATTTGAAAATCATTATCAAACCTCCCTTAGTCTTCTCTTCTCCAACCTAAATAATCTTAGTTCTTTCAGCCTTTCCTCATGAGCCATCTTTTCCAGACATCTAATAATTTTTGTTGCCCTTTCCTGGATTCTTTCCAAACTGCCAGCATCTTTCTTGAAGTGTGGCACCCAAAACTGGACACAGTACTCCACAGGAGGCCTCACCAGTGCCAAATGGAGTGGAAGGATTACTTCCTTTAATTTGCAAGCAATGTTACAATTAATACAATCCAGTGTGCTTTGGTGCTTTTTTGCAACAAGATCACACTGTTGGTTTATTCAGCCTAAGGTCCATTGTAACCTTGAGGTCCTCCTCGGCAATCCTGCAGGTTCACCAATCATTCCCCAGTCTGTGTGTGCATGCAACTGGTTTAGCCTAAGAGCAGGATCTTGCACTTGCTAAAATTAATTTAGCTGATTTTTAGACCATTTAACAAGGTCATTCTGAATCCTAGCTCTACCCTCTAGAGTGCCTTGCAACTACTAATTTGGTGTTGTCTGCAATATTAAGCAATACCAGATCCAGGATGGACCCCTGGGGAACACCACTTGATTCTTCTATCCAACTGAACATCAACCATTGATTACTCCTGTACATGATAATTTACTGTACTTTCATCTAGTCTGCATATTCTTAACTAACTAATGAGAACATCATGGGAAATGGTGTCAAAAGCTATTATAGCAACCACTGCTCTACCCTCATTCACACAGCCTGACACCTTCTCATAAAATGAAATGAAGTTGGTCAGGCATGACTTGCCCTAGATGAATCCATGCTTGTTGTTCCTGCTCACCTTGTTCTCCTCTAGGTGCTTAAAAATAGATTTGTTGATGACTTGCTTCATGATCTTTCCTGATATGAAGGTCAGACTGACTGGTCTATAATTCCCCGTATTTTCCTTATTCCCCGTCTTAAAGATGTGTACTATGTTTGCCTTTTTCCAGTCATGCAGGACCTCACCCAACTTCCACGTGTTGTCAATGGCTCCAACATTACCTCAGCCAACTCCTTCAGTACTCAAGGATGTATCCTGTCCAGCCCTGCTGACTTGAAACCTTCCAGCTTCTCTAAAGTAATCCATAACAGGTTATTCCACTATTCTAGGCTACTTATCTCCTCTCCTATCTTTGCTGCCAATTCGACTTGGCATCTGGTAGCTGGTCTTACTCATGATGACTGAACAATAACATCTGCTGTTATGATTTCAGAAGTCTGTACTTCATTCTTCTGAATGCAATATGCATGCTTCTTGTAGATTTCCAAGTCCATGTGATCTTTTGATGCATCTTCTCAATTATAAGCCATTTTAAGGCATTATAGTACATACAGAACAGGACTATGTATGAATAATGTATAAAAAGAAACTTTCCTTCAAGGAATGAATCCAAAAAACTTTTGTTAAATGGTTAAACATGTTACATAAACAAATATTGTATTTAATTGTACTTTTTCATTTTATTTAAGCACATCACAATGGAGTGATTACTTTTTTATGACTTACTCTTTTTGTTCTTCTCTTTCTCGCGCTCTCTTTTTTTTGAGGACAAATTTTATTGGTATTGGATAACTATAGGGTGTACATTGACTTATGATTTATTGTTTCATGGGCACTTGAACTGAAAGCATTGTCACCAAGTTAAAACTCCCCATGATCCACTTCAACTCATGCATTACACCTCTTCTGGTGGTTAATTCAACAGACTTTGCAGGCTCAGGGCCTTGCTTTGGTAGCTAAAAAAAACTGTGGTGTAAATATGGCTTAAAAATAAAAAACAGTATTTCTCAATAAAAACCTCTCCCTGCTGAAAAAATGCATGTTAGTTTTTGTATGAATATACATCATTTTCTAATTTATTGTACTGCATGATATACTTCACATTATTGTCAAATCAGAAGCAGTAAGAGAAGAAACTTAGCTGGTATAGCTATTTTACATTGAGAATATTAGCCACTGTACCTTTACCTAAAGTAACAGCAATAAGGTTTTTACAAACCTGCTAGCTGAGTTATTGCCTACTCTGTAAGGAAGAAAATACTTAAAAATCAAAAACTAAAAAACGTTAAAATTTTAGTTAAAAGCTTTACTTGTCTGGGAGTAATATCATAAAACTTTTTTTAATGTAAGCACTTCACTTCACAAAATGAAAAATTATTTACAACATTTTACTCGCAGTTTGGTCACTTTTACATTATGTATACACGTTTGCAGAAGTTCTTAGGCAGGAATAAGTATGTATCTTCTGACACAGACTATCAGACAGATTGCACATTTTTCCTTTTATGCAATGGCTCTCCTACAGTGCACTGAGTAGTCAGTTAGCACTGTCTGATTACATTCTCTTTTTTATTATGGCTCAACAATAAAAAAACAACAAAATACCACTTCAAAACCAAATACTTCTGAGTGTCTGAATTACACATTCTGTAAAAGCTGTGGATTTATATTATTGACCCTGATTTTCATAAATTAGGTGTACAATTACATATCTGGTTAGCACAAGCATGTAATGAATTGTGCATTAAAAAAAATCAAGGATTTGCACACCTAACTGTTTGAAAATCAAGGCACCGTGTCAACTTCTAACCTGTGAACCCACCTTCACCTAAGTTACGGCTCATTTTCCTTAAGAAAAAGCAGTTTTCTTTAGGGAACTACAATGAACTTTTCAGCACACTGTTACTGAGTTATGACATCTTTTATACATATACAGTAAATTTTGGCCAGCAGTATAATTTCTGTGTTAAACAATGTCATTGCCTTCACCCGCAGAATTGCTACGTACATTCACAGTTTCAATAGATTGTAATTAGCTTCTCCAGTTGTGCTTTAAAAATTCCAAATATTTTTTTCAAGAGTACAAGTGCAAAGCAGATGCCTGTGCAGCTACAATTGGTCACAGAGTTATAAACTCCATAATTATGAGCAGAATGTTCTCTCAGTCTCCAGTTTCATCACCTGCTTTCTCAGGTATGACCTCCAAGCTTCGACGGGGCTTTGAGATTTCTGTGTTTTCAGTGCCTCGTTTATTAAGTCCACATGAAAGTGCTGCATAATGGATTTGCTTCAAGTTCTCCAATGCCTCATTTTTAGCATATTTGAGAAGATCAGCTTGTCCCTGCAAGAACAAATGCGGTTAAAGTATCCAATCAAGAAGATTCCTTGCAGTTCCAATTTTGTTGTACAATTGTTGTGTGCTTTAAGATCAAACCCAGATTACTTTGTGTTAGCAAGAAGCTATGCCATTTATTTGCTCCGGAGCCAACTAACTAAATAAACAAAAGAACAAGAACCTTCTCTAGTCAACAGTTTGAAACAAAGGAATTTGAGCTATAGTTTAACCCTTGCTATTTTTAAAATTTGTGCACTCAGAAAATTGTAATAATGATTGACTTATTTCACACAGCAGTTGGGATCATGTGTGAGGGGAGGTCTGGGATCATGTGATGTGTGTATGTGCGTGCATGTGGGAGGAGGTTGAGGTTTTCCAGGTCACTTCACTTCATTCCATACTCTATTTACATGCAGGAATCCACAAGATGAACAAGGGCCCATGTTACGGTGTGTTGTCTTTCTTGAAAATCTGTATGTAGAAGACTTGAAGGGGGGCTGCTGCAGAGGCAAAGGAGATGGTGCTATATTTGCACTCATGTATGAATACATAGGATGATGCAGGCAAGCTTGGTCACTGTCTGGATAAACCAGATTGGCAGGCTACCTACTAAAGAATGTTACAGTATTTGCATTTTACAGCTGATGTAGTGTTGGGAATCTATGTAATCAAAATGCACTAAATTACTTCTCTTTGAAGCACACAAATGGGAGACCTGAAAAAAGAATTAAAAGGGGGGGGGGGTGAACAAACCCCCAAAACCCACCCTCCTTGAAACTGGCAACATCAGTTCAGACTATGGGGAGAATAAGCAACTGGGAAGGTTCAGCCAGACACCCCCCCCTGCCCCCCACTGAAACATGATGACCAGAAAAGTGAATAAAAACCATTCCAACTGAATAAATGAGTCATATTAAGAGTACATCTGTTTCTAGCACAAGTTTCATTTAGTGCATTAATTAGAATTGTTTTTAGAACTTGAATCAAGCTGTTTATATTATTATATGTGGGGTTAACTCTGCTTATTAAGGTTGTCAGACTTATAAGACCTTTTTCATTTGTTTATAACTTTGTCAAATTTTAACATTTGCACTGGGATTTCCCATACTGATTCCATGTAATCTTTTGGAAAATTTTAGCCAAAGTAGTTTGTCCATTTCTGAGAACAAGGCTAAGAAAAAAACATTGTTTCCCCATCTTAAATATAAATAAACCAAATACTTTGGGATGGGATGCATATTTTAACATGTGCTCTGGGGCCACTTTAATTAAAGCAGCTCCAAGAGTTGCTCTACTGTGTCCCATGTCTCAGCAACCCCGCATTTCAAAATGGTGGTGGGGGCACTTTAACTAAAGTTCACCCAATGAGCTTTAGCTAAAGTGCCCCCACCACCATTCTGAAGCACAGGGATGCTGAGATACAACACGTGGAGGCTGCTGGAGTGCGCTAACTAGCATGCTCCAACCAACTCGATTAATCGAGTCTGCTCTGACATGCTGTTATTACAGTGCATTGGAGCAGCCTCTGCACATATCTACAGGCACCCAAATGAGACTAAGAAGTCCTCAGTTTCTTAATGCACTATATGCTTCTGATTAACAAAACAAATTACTACTATATGCAAGTAGGAACATAAATACACTGACACTGGGCCATTCATTCTACTTGGAGAGAGATATACACCATACTCTGAAAATCTAAGATTCAAGGCCAATATATAATACATACTTAAAGCACCCACAGTGTCCCATGTCTCAGTGTCCCTACATTTCAAAATGGTGGTGGGGGCACTTTAACTAAAGCTCATCGAATGATACTTTACAGAAAAGTATACAAGACACCTTTCTATGCTATGCCTATGTATATGCTAGCTTAGCTTTCACTCATTTCTTGACTGCATAAAATAGCAGAGCCTTTTTTGTTGTTGTTGCAAAAAGCTTAGGGATACCACAACAGGTCAGATCATTTTTAACACTATAGCTTCCTACGTGAAACTTATTCTCCTATATGCAAACCTAAAAAAATGAAGCAGGTCTACCATATTCAATGTAAGATGGAGGAAAATGAGGAAACAAAGCAGCTTTTCTATCCCAGCAGGAATCTGCCTCTGAGAGACTACAAATTCCTGGAGCAGTTCCAAAACCAAATCTAAAAGGCAGTGTAGGGGTCTATGGCATTAGTTTTACCAGACTTTTTCTTTTGAAGATCCAAATCTGGGTTAGGTCATAATTTAAATAAACTGAGCTCTGATCCTAGTCTCCACTGGAAAACAGTCCACATAACAAAGGCATACTTAGAACCAACAAGATGGTAGTAGTCAAAAAAATTCACTGATGTCTACTTTGTGTTTAACACTTGTTCATGCTTTATCAGATGAATTCAGTACAGGACAGTTATGTTAGGCCAGGGGTTCTCAACCTTTTTAGATACAAGACACCTTTCTGTAAATGCTAGCTTAGCTTTCACTCATTTCTTGACTACATAAATTAGCAGAGGTTTTTTTGTTGTAATTGTTGCAAAAAGCTCAGGCAGACGACAACGGGTCAGACTGTTTTTAACACTATTGCTTCCTATTTGAAATATCTGGGTTTGTCTTATGAATCACATGTAGGTGTTTGTACACCTAATATCAAGGGCACCTTTAAAGGATTCTCACAACACCTCAGTGTGCTGCATTGTGCAGGTTGAGAATCACTGTGTTAGGCAGCCGTATGCTGACTCTTTAAATATACCACACAACAACACTGATAATCATTCATAAACTGTTTAAACAAGATAAGCAAAATCCACAACAGGATGTGAGTTAATATGCAGAGCCAATTACATTTCTTTTATGTATTTATATTCTCATTGACCTGAATCGTACTTTGGAAAAGCAAGTTCAGCAGCATGGAAAGCATTAGTTTGCTTTGATGATTTCAAGTAAGAGGTGCACCACTGTTTGATGTCTGAGTTTGTAAAAATAATTTAAAAAGGGGGAAATGCTCTTTTCCACCCCAACTCTGGAAAACTAGATTAATGGTTTTGATTCAGTGTGACACAAGAACAAGCAGACTGTTTCAGTATTTCTACATTTTCTTTACTATGTAGTGGGTACTTAATAGGGGTGTGCGAAGCAGGCCCTATTCCATTCAGATTCGATGCTGATTTGGCGAATCAGTGATTCAGACATAAACACATCTTTAAAAGTTTTTTCTACATACCTTGAGGTAGCAGGCATGGCTTGTGATCGCTGCGATGCTGGGGCGGATAGTGTCCCACAGGAGAGCAGGGGGACCCTCCACATGCGTGGCAGAGAACCCAGAAGTGGATCGGTCCACTTCTGTGTCTGCTGGGGAGTGTGCTGGGGGCCCCTGCTGCGCCCCCCTGGCTCAGCGACTGGTCACAGGGGGACTCCGGGTGCCCCCTGGGTGCCCTCCCCCCCAAACCCAGGAGGCACCAGGCACTGAGCTGAGCTCCCCAGCAGACCCAAAAGTGGACTGGAAGTGCTTCTGGTCCACTTCCAGGTCTGCTGCCAAGTGCAATGGGGAGCCCCTCATGCTTCTGTGGGACACTCTATGTGCCCCAGCATTGCAGCATTTACGAGCCCCTGCTAGCTAGTGGTATGTACAAAAAACATTTAAAGGCGTCTATGTCTGAATCTCTGAATCGATTCGGAGGGTTCCTATTCGATTTGGAGAGATTAAAGGCTTCTCTGATTTGATTCGGATTTGGAGATTTGGCCCAAATTGCGCCGAATCTCCACTGAATCAAATCAAGGATCAAAGCTTCACACAGTCCTAGTACTTAATCATATTTTTGTCACAGATTTCACAGTACAATGCAACTGTTATCTTTACTACTGTATATTTGATGTAACTTGACAAAAGGAAAATTGAAGGGCTGACGCAGTGAGTTTTTGTGCTACATTTTGAATTTTTCTTATCCTAAGCAGAAATAAGATTTCACCTTTGGCAATATTTGGGCACATACAAAAATACCCCAGACAAAACGCTACAATCCAGTGCGGTGCCTTTATTTGTTGTTTTCTGTTTGTCAGGGGACAGTGCTGGGCCACTGAATTGGCTGGCTAACACCTAGGACTCACTGATACATATGCTAATGTGCAACAACTTTTCTCACCCACAATAGGGATGGTACTGCCATCTCAATACAATATAATTTATCTCAAGTTTTTAATAGTGGTTAAATGCATACCTATCTTTTTCTGGTGAATGTTCTTCCTTTTCTTCTTTCCTTTTGTCAATGGGCTGGGTAGGATTCTATTAATTCTCCTTTGTGCATCTAACTGGTAGGTTTCTGGCTGCTTTAGTGGCATTTTTGGCCCTTATAGATTGAAATTCTGATACCTCTGCACTATGTGTACAGAAGTGTGCATATACAGACTGAGCATGTTCAGTAACTGATGACTGAGGAAAAAACGTCATGAAAATGTAGCTTTCGGAAATCCAAGACTATGGTGGGAATGTATCTGAGTGGTTAGAGCGCTTACTCAGAAAGTGGGAGAGCTGCCTGCCCTTGAGTCCTACTGAAATAACAGGGAGTCGAGACTCAGCACCACAAAGAACCAGCCCCTAATTGTAAAAATGCTGAAATTCAAAGTTATCATTCCCAAACTATGGTTTAAAACAGTGGTTCTCAAACTTTTTAGCCTCGAGGCCCTCCTCTATAACTTTGCTGAATTTTAGCTATGAGGAGGATGATCTGTGCTTGAAAAGGTAGGGAACCCCCTAGACAATCTGTCTGTTAAGCCAGGGCCTATTGGAAAAGTTCTGGAATTCCTAAATCAGCCTCTGACAAACTTGCACTAATTTTTACCATACATAGCTTGAATGCCTTCAACACATAGTGCGAAAATGTCTCATTTATACATGGAACCTTATTTTTTCCCCAGTGCAAAGATGAGATATTTAAATACATAAACATAGTAACAGCTGCTCTTGGGCTCTTTTCTCCCTGTATTCCATGGTAAATCTATTTGCCACATGTCCTTGCTCCCTCACTA